TGCTGCTTGGCCTGCTGTGTTCATCCAGCCCTGCACCTTGTTGTCTCTGTTGAGAATATGGAGCTCACTTGCACATGAGCTGTTAAGATGCATTTCAGGGGAAGCTAGATAAGTACAGGAGGTAGGGAGAAATAGAACGACGTGTTGATGGAGGAGATGAAGAAGTGTTGGAGAAAGCATACATGGAACAGAAATGTATTGGGCCTAATGGACTGTTCATTCCATTTATCATGTAACTAGTTTATGTAAAACAAGTCCTTGATGTGGCTTGGCAATAGTGAGTGAGATCATGGCACTATTACTGTAACCATGATTTTATTTATTTATTCTTGGATGTGAGTGTCCCTGGCAAGGTCAACATTTATTGATCGTGGGGTGTACTGATCTATTTATTCACTTATTTATTGCTAATATTTTTGAATTAGGTGGCAGAGTGGATCAATTCAAAGAGTAACTAAGATTCTACCTCATTGTCGTGGGTGTGGAGTCACTATGTAGCTCAGAGTGGGTCAGGATAGCAGATTTTCTTTGCTAAGAGGCATTAGAACCAAAAGTTTTTACAAGGGTTTGATAGTTATTTGTTCACTATTACTAAGATTTCCCTTTTATTTCAGATTTATTCATAATTTGAATTTAAATTCCACCAGCTGCCTTGAAATGAGATTTAAACCCATGCCCACAAACAGTTAACCCAAGCTTTGGGATTATTAGTCCAGTGATATTACCATTATACCAATGTCCTTCTATTTGAAATGTCATTTATTAATTCCCCATACAGGAGTGAAGCTTTGGTTCAGCGGTAACCTTCCTGTGAAACAAAATGCCTGAACTTTGAGCATCTCTCCAGATAACTCCGGCTCTGTCATCCCATGGTTTCTGCTTCATCATAGCAACCTAATATTTTACAGCATTGTGTACTGGAGCAGTATGTAATTCTATTGTAGGAGTTAATGATTGGTGTGTGTGTCTCTCTGCAGGTCTGGCAGTGTGGGGGCAGTGTCGAGGTTCTCCCTTGTTCCAGACTCGCTCATATTGAGAGAGCTCACAAGCCCTACACTGAGGATCTGACTGTGCATGTCCGTAGAAATGCACTGAGAGTAGCAGAGGTCTGGATGGACGAGTTCAGAAGTCATGTCTACATGGCCTGGAGCATTCCGATTGAGGTGGGTCAATAGGAAGACATCTGCAAATCCCTTTACTTCCTTTGATGGATCTGATTGCCTGCATTCTGACTGTATGCCAGAAATCAAACTTTAAGATTTGAACTCCCCTTTGCCCTACCACCAACCCCACCTTAACCTCTCAACTCAAACTCACTGATTATTTGGTGTTAAAACTCCCATGTCTGCTGCTCCTCTGAATCCTACCTGTGTTTCACTTCTACAAAGTGCCATTGAGAGTCAGGTGGTGAGGGCTTCGGCTGTTTGAGAATGTACAAGTGGCCTTTCAGTTTAAATGCTACTCGTGTCTGAAAAACCTCTACTTTCTCCTGAATGATGCGCATAAATTTGTTTAATAACATCAGGCCAGGCATGACTGAGCTACACCAGCCTGGGGAAAGTGGCGTACACAGCTTCGGAAGACCATATATGTGTACGTTCACCTAATGTAAAGCCATTTCCAACTTTCTGTGTGCATGTTCTTAATTTTGCCTAATCAGAGTTTCACCTATCAATAAAATAACTGGGGAACAGGAGACGTATTGAGCAGTAATTCACTGGATTATTTTAGGAGATGCACAAGTAATTTGAAGAGGATTAAGGTTGACTGAAGTGTTCGAAGTCTTGATTCGAATCACCACAGGGGAAGCCACGGCTCAGTGGATGTGCAATGCTTCTCAGTCACGCTGTTCAAATTTTAGTTCAGTTGCTTGAATGCACCATTGTGCTCCTCTGCCAGTGAGTTTGAAAGCAGAAAGGGGATATAAAATCCAACTTGTTCATGGCATGGCTACCTGCTCTCACCCCACCCCAACTTTGCCAACTGCGAAAAAGCATTGAACAGCCGACACACCGTTGGCCAATTGAAGCCATCAGTTGAGCTATTAATGTTCACTAAAGGCTTCATTCTGCTGCCATTGGTGCCAGGAAAAGCCCATGCCAAGCAATCAGCTGGGCAGCATTCCCCTTTGAGTAGCTGTCTTGTGGCACAATGGTAGTTTCCCTACCCCTGGACTGGGAGATTTTGGTTGAAGTCCCACCTACCCCAGAGGTGTGTACTAACAGCTCTGGACTGGTTTAGTTCGGAAAATAGGTTAAATTTTTTTAAAAAATTAAAATCATGTGGCCAGGCCCCCCTACCCCAACACCAGAGAGTTGATCTTCCACACCACCCCTCCCTCCAATTTTCTCCTCCTCTCAAACTTTGAGCATCCCATTACCTCCACCAACCCTGCCAGGATGGCACCCAGTGAGAACCCCAACCACATACAATGTTTTCGAGCATAACTCACCCGGTCAACCTCTGACCGCAGTACCGGCAGTGGCCATTGCTCCCGGTGGCACTAATACTGCATAGCTGCCATCCTCTGATTGATTGTTCTGATTTTCTCTGAGACCTGTGATCTTGAGGAATGGAAATCCTGCTTTCAACCTATTAACAGTCAATCGGCTATTAAATGGACTCAAGGGCACTATTCTTTGCCTGGACAGGCCACTCTCTCTTGAGGTTTTTGCTGAGAGAAGTGGTGCAGTGGCACCATGGTGCCATTCAAAAGCCAACCCATAGCCTTAGTTGATGATCCCAGTGCCAGTACTGAGGGAGTGTTACTGATGCCATTTTTCAGACATTAAACTGAGGCCCTGTTGGCCCCCTCAGATGACCATAAGAGATGTAGTGAGACTTGTTTGAAGAAAAGCAGTGGAAATTCTGCCCAGCGTCCCGGCTCAATGTTTATCCCTTAGTCACCATCCCTGAAACAGATGATCTGGCTGTTATTGCACTGCTCTTCGTCGAAGCTTTCTGTTCACAAATTGGCTGCCCTACATTACAACAGTGAGTACTCTTCCAAAGGATGGAATTGGCTGTAAAGCACTTTGGTGATGAAGGATGGTGTATAAGTGATTTCTTGTTTTCCAGGTAAAGGAGTTTTTGTTTTCATTGTTTTGCTGCAATTTTATAACATTGGTGAAGTTTTAAAATGGCCTTTAAAAATGACTTAAAGCAGCGATGCTTTCAGGTTAGAGATGTCTGACTCAGCATCTCTATATCTCACCGAGCGTGCTGACCACAATAAAGTCTTGTATTTATATATCATCTTGAATGTACAGAATGATATCACATAGCTTCACAAAGACAATGAAGAAAAGTGATTAATGAGCCAAAGAGAGGTTAAAAGGACGATCTAATTGGTCTTGAAGGAGGAGAGAGAGAGGGGAGAAAGAGGAAACTGCAGATTATTGGAAGGAGCCATAACCTCTTCATTTAACTCTTCATTAAATTACAATTTAAATACCTTCAAGCAACTGTACGAATTAAGTAATTCTATCTTGTCAAATTATAAGAATCCATCAACGAGTCATATATTAAGTCCTGATCATTGATTACAAAATCAAACCTGTATCTGAACATTGCTTTAAGTATTAGTTTAAATGATTTGATTAGTTAACTCACACCAAATTCTGCTCACACATCCCCCAACTGACGGCTCTGACTTCCAGTTTAGCAATGTTTCAATTTTACAATTTTCATCCTTGCTTTGATTCCCTTCATGGTCTCATTCCTTTCCTATTCTATAATTACTTATAACCCTCTGAAGTATTTGTGTTTCTCTAATTCAGGTCTCTCTCAATTTTCATTGTCCACCATTGGTGGCAGAGCTTTTAAGCATCTGGGCTCTGAGGTTGGGAATTCCATCCTTAAAACTTGCAACTTCTCTACTTCCCTTTCCTCTTTTAAGCGCTCCCTAAATCTACCACTTTCATCAAGCCTTTGGTCAGCTGTCCAAATATCTCCAGTGGCTTGATGTCAAATTTTGTTTGATAACACTCCTGTGAAGCATCTCAGAGCATTTTATGATGTACATAAATGCTAATTGTTTTGTCACACTGTCTAAATGCTGTCATTAAGGAAGTTTTTTTTTATACGCAGTTCTTCCAGTTATAATTATCTGCAAGGATTCAACACTTGAGTGCTTTGTTCTTTTTCTTCTTGTGTCTGCAGAATTCAGGGATTGATATTGGAGACATTTCAGACAGAAAAGCTCTGAGGCAGCGATTACAATGCAAGAGCTTTAAATGGTATCTACACAATGTGTACCCTGAGATGAGAGTGTACATGGATACCGTGGCCTATGGTATGGTAAGGACAGCCTTCTATTACTCATGGGTCTTAACTTAAGCCGGTGATCGGGTGAAGGATATAAGGTGGAATGATCAGGCATTGGGGGTGTGTGGCGGGAGGGTGGGTGTGAAGTGAGGGCTAGAGGATATACACCTGGGGCAAAAATCCCAGAACATCGAGGTGGCCCTATTAAGCAGCCTGCCTGAGGCCCCCACACTGTTTCCAGGGTCCGACTCCAGCTCACATCTTCCCACCATCACTCTGAACAGAATTCCAGCCATTCGGGTACTCAGATACCCCTGAGACAGGTTTGGAATGTCCAGAAATTTCACAAATCTGTGCACCAGATTCAAGAGTGAAAATTCAGACCTATGAATCTATTTGTCAAACAATATTTCCCTTTCATAAAGCCACGTTGACTCTGACTAATCATATCATGATTTTCCAAGTGCTTTCTTACCATATCATATTCTCTAATACTGACATCAGGCTAACAGACCTGTAGTTCCCTGTTTTCTCTCTCTCCCTTAATAGCAAATATTTGTTACCTTCCAATCCACTGGGATTGTCACAGAATCTAAGGAATGCTGCAAGTTCAAACTAGTGATCCACTAGGTCTGTAGCCAGAGTACAGGCACTCCAGTCCTAGAGCCTTGTTAACTTTTGAACTCATTAATTTGTTCAGTATTTTCTCTTGACAAATTAATTACCTTCTTGTTCCTCACTTTTGTCCCTAAAAGGCATAGAAGTTAATCCCGGGGTTCCTGGCCAATACTTACCACACAAGCAACATCATGTAAAACAACAATTCACCTCTCCCACCTATCCGCTCCTCCCACCTCAACCCCCACCCCAGCCCCTCCTACCTACCAGCCTCATCCCTGGCTCCTTGACATGTCCGTCTTGCCTTGACTGACCAACGCCCACCCTAACACCCCACCTACACTCACCTTTACTGGCTCCATCCCCGCCTCCTTGACCTGTCCGTCTCCTCTCCACCTATCTGCTCCTTTATCCATCTTCCATCCGCGCCCCCCCCCACCTCTATTTATTTCAGAATCCCCTTCCCCTCCCCCATTTCTGAAGAAGGGCCCAGACCCGAAACGTCAGCTTTCCTGCTCCTCTGATGCTCCTTCGCCTGCTGTGTTCATCCAGCTCTACACCTTGTTACCTCACATTCACCTAGTCATTGAGATTTTGCTGTTTGTGGGATCTTGCTGTGTGCATGTTATCAGCCACGTTTCCTACATTACATGAATACTAAACTTCCCAAGCAGTTCATTAGTTGTACAGTGTTTTGAGAGTAACCCCTAAATATTTATCTTGTTCTTCTACTTTTCACTTCTATTAAAACTCTCCAAAGCAGTCAAGAGTCACACTATTCCTGGAAATACGAGCTTTCTGCGCACAATCACATTTGCTGGCAGTAATAAATTAATATTCAATTTTTCCTTTAAAGGTATTGCTGGAGGGTGGAATTCCATGTAATGTAGTCAACATTATTCAATGGATGAGTGGCTGTGTCACAGGCAGCCTAAACACAAGGACAAATAAATTGGGATTTAACTTGTAGCAATTTGCACTAAAGTGGTTGCTTCCCTATATGCTGGGATAAGGATTGGATGTTGTGCGGGGAGTCCAGTCTGTACCAGCAAGAAATATAAGAGCATATAACAGTATAAAAAGTAGAAGATTGCAGCTAAAACAATCTCATAAAGGATGAGACTGGAGGAATTAATGGGAAACAAGGAAATAGAAGACCCTTTGAACAAGTATTTTGTTTCTATCTTTGTGATAAAAGACAAATAGTATTTCAAGAATGACAGAAAATCCAGGAACAAAATGGATGGTGGAACTTAAAACAATCACTATTGTTAGAAAATAGTATCAGCAAAACAGAAGTGCCAGGCAATGACCACTCCAACAAGAGGGAATCGCCCCATGACAGAAATGGCAATACTATAGGTGAACCTCCTACCATCAACATTCTTGGGGTTACAGGTAGCAGAAACTGAACTGGACCAGCCATATAACCACTGTGCTAGAACACCAAATAAGAGTTGGGAAATCTGCAATGAGAAACTCACATCCTGACCTCCCAAAGCCTGTCCAGTAGCTTCAAGGTGCAGGTCAGGAGTGTGATAGACTGTGTGGAGCAGCACGGTGGCTCAGTGGTTAGCATTGCAGCCTCACACTGCCAGGGACCCGGGTTCAATCCCAGCCTTGGGTGACTGTCCGTGTGGAGTCTGCACGTTCTCCCCATGGCTGTGTGGGTTTCCTCCAGGTACTCTGGTTTCCTCCCACAGTCTAAAGATGTGGAAGTTGGGTGGATTGGCCATGCTAAATTGCCCCTAATGTCCAGGGATGTGCAGGCTAAGTGGATTAGTGGAAATGTAGGGTTACAGGGATAGGGTAAAGGGGTGGGTTTGGGTGGGGTGCACTTTGGAGGGTCAGAGTGGACTTGATGGGCAAAAGGGCCTATTTCCACTATGTAGGGATTCTATAAGCTCTCCACTTGCCTGGATGAGTGCAGCCCCAACAACATTTAAGAGACTTGACACTATCAAGGATAGAGTAGCCCACTTTTTGGCAACTCATCCACAACCTGGAATACTTGTTCCCTCCAACTCTGATGCACAGCAGCAACAGTGTGCACCATCTACAAGATGCATTGCAGCAACTCAACAAGACTTCTTCAACAGCACCTTCAAAACCCTCAACCTCTACCACCAGGAAGGATAAAGGCGTGGGAACACCACCACCTACAAGGTGCCTTTCAAGTCTCGCACCATTTTGATTTGGAGCTTTCCTACAAAAAACTGCATGCTAAATAAAAATAACTTTCCTATAAGAAAATACCTTATGAGAATAAGTCCCATTCCTGACCTGTAATTTTTATATTGAAAACCTAATAGTTGCCATGATCTTAACTTTCTAACTTTTAATAATGTAAAAGCTATTAATAACTTACTATCTCTTTTGGTTTACCTTTTGATTTCTACCTCCCACCTCCCACTCAACACCTCTCCCGATTCTCCCTCACGTTCCCTTTCTCTCTCGGCCTCCTCTCTCAACCCTCCAGCTCACTGACCATTCTCTCCTCGTCCCCACTGCTCCCTCTCCCAACCCTCCAGATCATTGACCCTCCCAATCACTTCCTCGTCCCTTCGCTGAAACCTCTGACTTACCTGCTCCCTGCCCAGGGGTTCCAGGGAAAGAGGGACTGAATAGAAGGGTTGAGGAAAGAGGCACCAAATGGGAAGGAGACAGTGAGTGGGAGGGTAGTGAATTCAAAGTTAAGGGTGTGGGAAATGTGATTTTGGTAGGAAGAATATGGAGAGACAAGACAAAACAAAGGACACAATTCTAAGAAGGATGCAGGGCAAAGAGACCTGGGACTGTATGTATATGTTATTTAATGTGCGAGCAAGGATGTGAGAGCAGTTAATAAATCATGCAGTCTTTATTAATTGCGGTATGGAATACAAGAGCCTGTATGAAATACTTATTTGGACTCAGCTGGAGTTTTAATTCCAGGTTAGAGAGGATGTGAAATTGGAAAGGATGCAGAAAAGATTCATCAAAGACTCAAGGATGAAGGAATTCATTTATCAAGGTCGATTGGAGAAGTTAGGACTGTTTTGATTGAAAAAAGCAAGCTAAGAGGAGATCTGTTTTGAGAAGTCTGGACAGATTAGACAGGGAGACACGGTTCCCACTTGTGAAGGGATCGAGAATGAGAAGGCAGAGATTTAAAGTAATTGGTAAAAGAAACACAAATAATGTGAGGAAAAAGAAGCCTTTCCACACAGTTTAGGCCTGGAATGCACTGCCTGAGTGTGATGGTGGCAGGTTCACTCAATATATTCTAAAGGGAATGAGACCGTTATCTGTAATGAAAGAATGTGAAAGGTTATGGGAGGAAGGTAGCGGAATGGCACTAAGTGAATTGTTCATTCAGAGTCAGTGTAGACATGATGGATGAATGGCCTCCTTCTGCTCTACGATAATTCTGATTTTGTTCAGTGATAAATCCTAGCAATATCACCTACTACAAGCATGTTTTATTTCTCTATATATTACAGCTCAAAAATTCCTTGAAAAATGATTTGTGTCTTGATCGGGGACCGGACACGGACAATATTCCAATTATGTATGTTTGTCATGGAATGGTGTCACAGGTATGTGCAATGAATGATGGAGATACAAGCCCATAATATCAGTGGTCACTGTGAGAGGGCTGTGTGTCTGATCATGGGGTGAACATTAGCGCATAGGAACAAACAAACATATGGAATATACACACACACACATATGGAATATACATATGTCTACAACCCTGGGACTACCAAAGACCTTCTGGTTTGTGCGACCTGTCTCACAAGACTGAATTCTCATTTATTGCAATATGTGGTTGATCCACTGGAGAATAGGTAACCTTCTGACAAAGGTGAAAGTAAACCAGATTCAGGCCAATTTGGGAAAGTAAACCCAGGAAATTGCTCTCTCCCTCCCCTTTTTGTCACGATCTTACAGGCCATTCACAAAAGTCGCTGCAGGATTTCCAACCATCTTGTAGTGACTCTGAAAAATGCGCTCTTTAGGAATTGAAAGGAGAAAGTCGTTTCATAAGAAATATGAGCAGTGCTAATGTTTCACACAACATTAGCAAAGGTTTGAAGATTTTTCGATAGGGAGAGCATAAATCTGAATCTTGAAAGCAACCCATTCCCCCCATGCCCCTCAGGCAAATGAACGTTGCAAAAGAAACTGGAGTGAAAGATGATGCAGAATTGTTTTACACAGTGAGTTGATCTGATCTCGATTGTGCGATCCAAGAGGGCAATGGAAGCAGATTCAATAGCAGCCTTCGAAAGAGAATTAGATAAATACTTGTAAAATGTGCAGGACTATGGGGAAATTCTGGGTGGTGGGACTGATTGGCTGCTCTTTCAAAGAGCCGCAACAAGAATGATGGGCTGAATATCCTCTTACTGTATCATCTTATGATTTTTTTACAAGATGGGGAACTAAGTCATTTGTTTTCATATTTCACACCTTTCACATTGTTGCCAAATTGATTTCAATAAATCTGGAACTGTGTGAATTGTAGTGGTATAAAAGGGCCAGATTGTGGTTAAAATCAATGTGTTTCACCAATGTGGGACACTTACCTACTCTGACCTACCTGTAGATCCATTCAAACTATGTATCTAGCACTGAATGTCGTCAGGGAACCTAGAAATGAGCAATAACTGCAGCCTTGTTAAACAGCTACACTCTTAAGAGCATATTGGGAGGTAGCTCCTCTGCCAAATGGTGCAACAATTTAATTTTGAGTTGTAGCTTTGCATTCATCTTTGCTTGTTGCCTGTATCCTAACTCCAAGTCCCATTCCAAGTCCCATTCACCCATTACCCGTAAACTCACTGATTTGTATAAACCCCCAACCACCTTGATTTGAACATATGCATTCATGATTTTAAGTCATTCCATGGCTTTGGTCCTCCCTCCTGCCCAACAGTCCTCTGAGATCTCTCCGCTCCAGAAAGTTTAATATCTTGCACATACCTGATTTTAATTACTCCATTGTTGGGACAATGACTCCAGCTGTGCAGCGACAAAGACAAATCTCTGAAATTCTCTTTTCAAACCTCTCTCCCGCTCCGCCTTATGAGGAAGGTTGTTTCCCCTTGCGGGGGACTCTACGACCAGATGGCATAATCTCAGAATAAGGAGTCACACATTTAACACAGATATGAGGAGGAATTTCTTCTCTCAGAGGATAGTGCATCTGTGGAATTCATTACCTAAGAGGGCTGTTGAGACTGGGTCACTGAGTATATTCAAAGCCAAGGTAGATTCTTAATCAGCAAGGGAATCAGGGAGTTATGGGGAAAAGGCAGGAAAATGGAATTGAGGATTATCAGATCAGCCACGATCTCACTGAATAGCAGAGCAAAGTTGACGGGCTGATGGCCTACTTCTGCTCCTATATCTAATGGTCTAGATGGGAGAAGTTTGCAGATCGGAATTTCTCTATTTCAGCCGCTTATTACAAAACAGCTGGGTGATTAAATCAAAACAAAAATTGCTGGAAATATTCATCAAGTCAGGCAGCAGCTCCTAAAGTTATAAACTCAGAGTTTTATACAGCATGTACAAAGGTTCCTCATACTGCAGTTTGTGAAACATACATGGCTGAGATTACCCACAGTACCTAGACTTAGTCTTACTCCCCTGTAGTGAAAGCAACAGTTCATGTTTCAGATTTTACTTTAATTTGTGCATGGTCTGCGGATGCCACTTGCTGGGCCATTCCTAATTACCCAGAGGATAGTTAAAAGTCAATGATGTAGCTGTTCTTCTGGATTCACAAGTAGGCCAGAACAGATTTCTATCTCTTTCATGTATTAGTCAGCCAGATGGATTTTTATAACAGAGATAGTGGGAACTGCCGATGCTGGAGAATCTGAGATAACAAGGTGTAGAGCTGGTTGAACACAGCAGGCCAAGCAGCATCAGAGGAGCAGGAAGGCTGACGTTTCGGGCCTAGACCCTTCATCAGAAATGGGGGAGGGGAAGGGGGTTCTGAAATAAATAAATATCCACCTCCCCCTCTCTCCCTATTTATTTCAGAACCCCCTCCCCCTCCCCCATTTCTGAAGAAGGGTCTAGGCCCGAAACATCAGCTTTCCTGCTCCTCTGATGCTGCTTGGCCTGCTGTGTTCATCCAGCTCTACAGTTTGTTATCTTGGATTTTTATAACAACTGACATGCTTATTTTAATTACATGCTGGCTGGGTCAGTTTTTATTGCCTGTCCCTAGCTGCCCTGGAGAAAGTGGTGGTAAGCTGTCTTCTTGAACAGGCGCTGTCCACATCCTGTAGATAGACCCATAATGCCCTTAGGGAGGAAATTCCAGGATTTTGACGTAGCAGCAGTGAAGGAGCAACAATATATTTCCAAGTCGGGATGGTGAATGGCTTGGAAAGCGGTTACATGGGGTGATAGTGTAAAATATAATCGTGCTGCCCTTGTCCTTCTAGATGGAATTGGCCGACAGTTTGAAATGTGCTGTCTAGGGACCTTTGGTGAATTTCTGCAGTGCATCTTATAGACAGTACACACTGCTACTACTGAGTGTCAGTGGTGGATATGGTGCCAATCAAGTAGGCTGGATGGTATCAAGCTTCTTGAGTGTTGGCACTGCATTCATCCAGGCAAGTGGGAGAGTATTCCATGACACTCCTGACTTGTGTCTTGTAAATGGTATACAGACTTTGGGGAGTCAGGAGGTGAGTTGCTCGCTGCAGGATTCCTCACCTCTGACCTGCTGTTGCGGCCACTGCAATCATATGGTGAGTCTAAGGGAGTTTCTGGTTGACAGTAACTCCAGGATGTTGGTAGTAGGGATAGTGGTTGTACGATAGCCATCAGGCCAGCTTTTTTATTCAAGATGTTACCTTAATTGTTGAGTTTAAATTTCCCCATCTGCCTTGGCAGGATTTAAGCACAAGTCCCCAGAACATCAACCTGGGCTCTGGATTACTGGGCCAGTGACGTTACCGCTACACAACCTCCTCTCTCACAAATGACCTTTGATCAGAACAGGAAGAAATAAGAGATGTAATAGGTTTTAAACTGGTACAGATTGAGGCAGGGAAAGGAGAGACCGGAGAAAGGAACAAGAAAGAAGGTTTGGGTTGCATTGGAAGAAAAATGGCAAATTGAATGATTGAGTAAGGGAAAGAGATATACTAATGTGACAGATACATTGATGGTTCATTGTTTAATTAAGAATTTCCAGCAATCTGCACCAGCATATTGGATTGTCAGTAACTTTCTGTCCAACCAACAGCTTCATTGAGAAGGGTCAGTGACCTTAAACCTCATCTATCACATTCTCATCTATTACACCCAAAGTAAAGTGCAATTCAGTTGTAACTCTGTGAGATTAAATGTGAAACAAGCTTTCATTGAAAGTAACATCTGAACAGTTAAAGCATCTTATGCATAACTGAAGTGTAGGAAAACATGAATTCTTTGTATGATTAACAGACTTCGCAGGTTTGTGTGCTTAAGTCCACACAGCACTGTTTGAACAGAGCCGTGATAAATGATCCCACAGGCTGTATTCTCTTAGCTAATTATTTAGAACAGTAAACACCAACCTTGGTTTGATTGCTGGTTTCCATGGTGATGGCCAGTCATTATGGATAAGACAGAACAGAAAGAGTTGACATTGCTTTTCTCCTGCACACCTGACATTATCCCGCAGTTAACAAGAATCAGAATCTAGTGTTTGAAGTTTTCTCTAAATACGTCACACTAAATTATCACAGTTCAAAGGAGGAGCCTTAGGCATATGTCGCAAGGAAGGAATTTTTCAGTGAAATTCATAAAGTCTATGGCACAGCAACAGGACATTTAACCCCAACCACCTGGCACGCTTACTCTCACACACTCATCTTCCAGTTTACCCCCTCAATCACCTGACACCCTAACCCTTCTTTCACCCTGCTGCCATTCTACCCCCTCATCCATTTGCATCCTACCTTCCTCGCCCACTCTCTGTGCTGTTTCCCAACAGGACTTTTGGCTATTCGTTCAAGGATTGGATGCATCACTGGTTTGGCCAGGAATTATTGTCCATTCCTAGTTGTCATGTTAGAAGGTGAGCTGCCTTCCTGAACTGTTGCAGTCTATTTGATGTAGGTGCAATGCTTTTAGTGAGGGAGTTCTATGATTTTGATCCAGTGCAGTGAAGAAATAGTGATACATTTCCAATTCAGGATGATGAGGAAATTGCAAGTTGTGGCTTCCCTTGACTTTCTAGATGGTAATGATTGCGGATTTGGAAGATGCTGACGGAGGAGCCTTGGTGAATTTTGCAGTGCATCTTGTAAATAGCACACATTGCTGCTGAGCATTGATGGAGGAGGGAGTAAATGTTTATCGATGTGGTGTCAATCATTGTCTGCTTTATCCTGAATGGTGTCAAGTCTTTTGAGTGTGGTTGGAGCTGCACTCATCTAGGCTAGTGGGGAGTATTCTGTCACTCTCCTGATTGGTGCCTTTTAGATGGTAAACAAGTTTTAAGGAGTTAATCACTAAAGAATTTCTAGCTGCTGATTTGCATTGTATTTTTATGCTTGGTCCAGCTAAGTTTCTGGTCAAT